GCTCTATCTTCGGTGTGCCTTTATCATCACCACGGTACACCCCAAAACGACTACTTGCGACCTTGCTTGATGGTATCACATATAGCAAAAGGCTATACGTGGACACTTATGCATCGGGCATAAACATCGAAAATCGAACCAAGAAACAAGGAAAAAAAAGAACAAAAATTGGGTGAGAAAGAGGAGGCACCGATCCATCTAAAACATCGAAAAGGAGATTGGATCGGTTCTCAAAACTCGTACCGAAAAGACCTGGAAAAGTAGGGCCCGAGGTCCTTCCTAACAAACATAAAATATTCCTTTACGCTGATTCTCCAAACCACAAGAACGCAGGATTAATCGAATCAACCAAATACTCTCCCAAATAAAGCTTGCAAATCCTCCCCAAATCCCAAAGTTAATATCAAAATCTTCTGACTTCCAACCTAATCCATAACTTTACATATCGAACAAGCATAAAAATCTTCCCATAAAATCAAATGAATGCTTGCAATCGGGATCACTACAAAGAACTAAACAGCAGGTAGGACTCACGGCCAAAGCGAAACCCGAGGCACATAAGAGAAAACAGCCAACAAGGCCCTCGACCCAAAGCTAGGAACAGGGACAAAAGGGCTCACGGTCAGGGTCAGCAAAGAAGAGGAAACAGCCAACAAGGCCCATAACCAAAGGCAACTTAAAAGACAACAAATAAGGCTTACAGTTAAGGCATCAAAGGGGCCTAAAAAGAACTAATAAAGCTCACGGTTTAAGGTAGCAAATAACAGCTGCAAAAGCCCACGACCCAAGGCCATCCAAAGCACAAAGGGGCTCACGGCTAAAGCCAACAAAAAGACCACCAAAGACGACTATGCTTCCCTGACAAACTGAAAGGATAACTAAAATAATTATAATACTTTTTTTTTTTTTTATGGCAAACTTGATTCATTCCCTACAAGCTTTTATATACATAGGAGAGTATGAAATATCACCAATCTCTCAAAGTAATAAGTTTAATCCCTCTATAATCATTCAAATGATTCAAACTCAACAAGATGGGGTAAGTTAAACTCAAGGAATTCCAATGGGTCTCACGGGTAGGGGTAG